CTCTGCGCCCCCAGTCCTCGAGTGGTCCCTCCAGAAAGGTGACCCCTCCACAGAGGTTTGGATGTCACTGTTGCCGTGAGGTGGTTGCTGATGTTCAAGGGCAATCATAAAGTCTTTCAGAAAGATGTACAATGTGTGAGAAAGCTGTGTGACAAACGTGTAAGGGGAAGGGGGGGAGATTCTCTGACTTTGAAGTTTAGGAGCTCTCAGAGTCCTGGAAGAGCTGAGGCGTGGAGGTGAAGCTTGCCAGCAGTGGCTCTGTGGGGCGTCACTTGTGCCATGTGTGTGAACTCCAGGCACCCTCACTTCCACGGTGGAGTTTGAATTTCTGCTGGGGAAGGAGGATGATTCTGCTCCTCATACGTGAAGCCAGCAGAGTGGGAAAATCCCATGCCTGCAATGAACACGCACTCGTGTGGTGGGAACAGCATGAGGGAGCCTTGGCGGTGTGTGGATGAAGCTTTGTTACGTTCTCTTGCGAAATAAGCTTTTGAAAAAGGCGTGCCCTGTCCCACGCTAACCTCTCCTGTGGCTGTTTCTCCTGCTCGGAAAGGAGTAAATGCAGACTCTCTTGCAGAGACTCTAGAGCATGAGGGCGCAGGAAGGGCGGAGGTGACAGGGCAAGGCATCTTTGCCCATTTTAACTTCAGCGTAACCTCTAGCTCCATCCTGTTTCGAGCTTCCATCGCTGGTCTTTGAGAAATGGCGGGTTTACAGGTGTGTGTTTTCACAGGTCCCTTCGGGTCTCTTCATCCCCAGCATGGCGGTGGGTGCTATAGCCGGCAGATTGCTCGGAGTAGCTGTGGAGCAGCTGGCCTACTACCACCACGACTGGGCCATCTTCAGCGGCTGGTGCAGTCAAGGAGCGGACTGCATCACTCCCGGCCTCTATGCAATGGTTGGGGCTGCAGCGTGTCTAGGTAAGCAAGATGGCTTCGGGGGTCCCAGCCGTGGTTCGGGTCTTGGTTGGCCATGTAGGGAAGTCAACTGGAGAAATGCCGCCGCTGTTCTCCCGGTCCATGGAAGCTGGCTTCATCTCAAGAACAGGAAACTCTGTAGTGGAATACGCAATGTGTTCCTCATCCTGTTTGCATTCTTCTGCCAGCACCAACCTATCGTTGGACACGACGGGCTTCAGTGGGGAGCCTCCTGAATAGGCAGCTAGAGCAAATGAGACCGGCCAGGGACTTCAGATTTTTCCTGTGGGGTTTTAATTCATTTTACTTCCTGTTCTGGCCTCAAATCTTGTGATGCAAGTACGATGCAATCTTCTTTCAAGTGCTCTGTTTCTTGGTAACATTTCTTCAACTTAGCTGAATTTGAGAACTTGGGTGCACGTGACTGAACTTCACTTTCACTGTAATTCCCAGTCCTTTCCTCCACCGAATAGTATGTTTAACTCTTAAGGGACTAATTTGCTATATCAGGAGAAACTCTCATTTTGGGAACAATAAAAGCATGCTGCCAAACCCCCTTCTTTGGCCTTTTTAAAGGGCCACCTTTAAACACCTTCTTGTTTGCCTGTAATGCATGGAAAAGGAATATGATTCTGCTTCATTAACTGTTCTGTTTACCACTGGACAGTACTAAAGGGTACGTGCCCCTCTAGGAGATGGCTATTGGAGCAAAACTCCTCTCAAATACGTGGGAGGAGCTTTGGGACTTGAATCTCAAAAGCATAATTAAAATATGCTGAGACAAAATGCTGCTATAAAAAAAAATGATGTCAGTGTTTAAGAAGACTTGCCTATTTCCTCTTGAAATGCCTCAACTGTTTTGGTGTTGAAAACCTACAGAAGGGTAATGAACAGTAGTCAGGATGCCTGGCTGAAAGCCGGCGGACCGGAGAGGCCCTTGCTGTTAGGGACATCAATGCTGGTAACCAAGGGATGTCAGGATGACACTCGCCTCTTGTGTGCAGCCTGTCAGAGGTCGTGCTCCATCAATCTGCCCGTGGAGGTGTGTATAAAGCCTTCCTGAGGCACGGCCAGCTAGCTAAGTAACACAAGAGAGTGTTGGCCATCTCTTAAGGTTGCTTTGGAGTTCAGGGAAAGACCCATCAAAAACGTGTAGCAAGCCAGCCCATGGCACGATGTTCTGGAAGGGACGGACGGCTTCAGGCTGTGTTCTGCTCGCGTTTGGCTTCCGCTGCCATGCCAAATGCGATGTGGGAGTCCAACAGCACAACTGCTTGCTGATACAAGTCCTTCTCTAGATGCGTTGGCAGAGGACAGCTGTAGCAAACCTCAGAACAGCTCTCCTGCCTGGAAAACCCCCAAAACCGCCTGTTCATGCCATCTGTCCTCCTGTGTTCTGTTTGCAGGCGGGGTGACCCGAATGACTGTCTCTCTAGTGGTCATTATGTTTGAGCTCACTGGTGGACTGGAATACATCGTTCCTCTGATGGCAGCAGCCATGACCAGCAAGTGGGTGGCTGATGCCATTGGGCGGGAAGGCATTTACGATGCCCATATTCGCCTCAACGGATACCCTTTCTTGGAAGCCAAGGAAGAGTTCTCACACAAGACACTTGCGATGGACGTAATGAGGCCACGGAGGAACGATCCTCCTCTGACTGTCATCACTCAGGACAGCATGACCGTAGAAGATGTTGAGACCATCATCAATGAAACCACGTACAGTGGCTATCCAGTGGTGGTGTCGCGGGAGTCCCAAAGGCTTGTTGGATTCGTCCTCAGGAGAGACCTCATCATTTCAATTGGTAAGAGGCAAGATGCTGCGTAGGTAAACGATGCCATTAGAGGCCTTAGATGGCACCAGCTGTACTTCATGAGTTTAAACACCCAGTAGCGATGGTGGCTGTGCCTACTGGTGCCTGCATCTCCATCCCTGAGCAGTGTGGGGTCTGCAGACATTGAGTGTGAGGGACAGGGTGGCTTGCCTGGTGGGATTAGCACGGCTCTGCTGAATTTGTAAACCTTAGGGCACGGCTGTGAAGTGCAGGACTTGTATTACAATTTAGGGCACCTTTAGGTTCCTCTTGCTCTCCAGTTTTAGAAACCAGCAAGCGCTGTTGCCCAACATGAGACCTGGTTGGAAGTTCTGGTCTCGTTGTCTCTTGCTGGCTTGGGTGAGACAGTATGCCGTCTCTTCGTGAAGCAGGAGAGATCTGTGCGTTAGGGTTGAGGGGTACACGGGCACGTAAGTCAGTCCTTAAAAATTGCGCCCGCACTGGAGCAAAGCTTGGGCATAAGGGTACCAAGCCCCCTGCTCTCATGCAAGTTGAGCCCATGTGGTTTGTGTCCAAGCATCTGCGCTGAACTTGGGTGAGCTGGAGTTGCTCACATGCTGTCTTACACCGGCGCCCAGCAGAGTTCATGCACGCCCCGTGGCGAGCTGGCTGGGAGAACTGATCCAGCCGAAAACGCCTCTCCCCTCCCTGCTCGGTTAGCTCCGGCAGGTCAGCCCCCTCTTCGGGCTCCCGGGGGGGGCACGCGGGTACTGGCACAAGGGAGCGGGTGAGTGCGCGCTGGCTGGGAGCGGGGTGGCAGCTGCCTTGGACAAAAGCCCAAAGTCATGATGGGAACAGCGTGGTCGTGGAGGGTTGAAGGCACGTGAGCTCTGCCCTGTGCTCTCCAGTGCGGGTTGAATGCGCTGCCGTGGCTCCAGCTTGCTGACTTTTGGTAGGGGAGGAGGCTTGGCCCTGAGCTACCTTTGTCCACGGCAGAGCTAGAGTGGGGTTTATCATTGAGTTGCCTGCAGCTATGAATCAACCCCGTGTGTTCCCTCTCTTTTAAGGTGAGTTTTCAGCGTCAGCTTCAGGATGTGCAATACAGTCTTTTGGAGCACGTGAATGTGGCTCTCGTTCTGATAAGCTTCTGGCCAAGTGCTTATGACAACATGGAATGGAATACAGAAAAAAGTGCGCTGTCCCACTGTAATTATGTGCTTTGCCTTCCTTCTGTAAGGCTGCTTTGTGGTACGACCATGAATTCTTGCATTTGTGTTAGTTATCTACCTTCTTCTGAAACTGGGAAGTTAAAGTTCTCCAGGACTTGCATTTACGTGGCCAGAGCAAAACGCCGAGATGCATGGCAGCCTTGGCATTAGGCAAAGTGTGTGCTGATCTCGCCCCAGGGGTGAAGCTTTGGAGACCTCAGAGGTCATGCTGTAGGTATTAGAAGATGGGATGGAAACATATCGCACCCGTCTCGGGTCATCAGTTACCTTGAGAAACAGTGCAGGTGAAGGGAAGGAACGGACTTCTAAGGCCATCCCGATGTGGGCAGAGCGAGAAAGGGGTGTGCTCCTCGGTTCAGAAAAGGAAAGGAGGGACGATATTGATTAATCAGGTATTTATTTCTTCTTCCAGAAAACGCCCGGAAGAAGCAGGATGGGATTGTGAGCACTTCAGTTATTTATTTCACTGACCACTCTCCTCCGCTGCCTCCAAGCTCCCCCTCTATGCTGAAACTCAGGAGCATCCTGGACCTCAGTCCTTTCACAGTGACAGACCAAACACCTATGGAAATAGTGGTGGATATATTCCGCAAGCTGGGATTGCGCCAGTGCCTGGTTACTCACAATGGGTAAGAACGCTGCAGGCAGAGCCCTGGGGTCCCAGGGTTGCCTGTAGACCTGGGTCAAAGCCCCCTCTCCTTTGAGTGAGCAAAGGCTTCTGGTGCTCGGCTGGAGCGGTTGTTACCTGGAAGAAAGCAATCGTGAAAGCCCTGAGCCTCTCTTGGTTGAAGCAGTAGCGTGAAGCCTGTAAGGCCAAGGCACAGCTCCACGGGGTGGTGGGTGTCTCCGACTGATGGAGAGGGCTCACAGCCTCCTCTCAAACCCAGCCACGTGTCTCGTGTAACTGCTTGAATTGGCTTTGGTGCCGATGAGAAGCAGCATCTCCGGTGATGTGGGAAGGAATGAGGGCAAGGATAGAAACCGAGCGCTCGGTCCCCCGCGGCGTGGCACCAGCAGGACCTCTCTCCCTGTTCCCTGCTGCGGGGCATGTGGACCCGCTGGTCCTCCCTGCTCCTGGCGGACAGCGGCGTTGCTCAGCCTCGCCCCCCCGGGCGTTCTGCCCATCCCCTGGTTCCTGGCCATGCCTTCCGGCACCTTTTTGAAAGCATAGCTGCTGAGAGTGCTGGGACTTAAAATGCAGCCGTAGACATTCAGGCTGATCTTTTTGGAGCGGGTGGGTGCTGATAATTATTAATACTTGTCTTTTGGTTATAACCTCGGTAGCTTTTTCAGCATAAAACACCGGTAGAGTTTCTGCTGGACTTGTGAGCGTCACACCTTGTGGGGAGGGTCAGCGCTGCGATCCAGAAGGCGCTTCAATGGGCATGGCCCTCCGTGCAGCTGCGTGAGGGCCAGGGTGCCTTCCGTGGGTGCTGATGCACTGAAAATGGGGGTTTATTTTTCAGGAAGCTGCTCGGGATCATTACCAAGAAGGATGTACTAAAGCACATTGCACAGATGGCTAACCAGGACCCAGATTCTATACTCTTCAATTAAAGGCAGCCCTGTAGGTATTGTGTCTTTGGCACAAAAGGAACTTTATAGAAGATCCTGGATGTACTTCCCTATTTTTATTGAGACCATGGAACTGTTTTCAGCGTTTCCTTCCACGGAGCTGAAGAAGATAATTTGTTTTTCTACCAGATAACCGATTGCACTACATAATCTGTGGAACATAATCTTCTTTTTAGAAGAAAAAAGAGACTTCCTTTACGTTGCTTTTGTGAAGTTGCATTGGAAAGATTCCATGAAGGAGTAAAAGCAAAATGCTATAGAATTACATCTCCTCTTCTTATTTTATTTGGACTCTTGTTACAAACGCGGGGAGGAAAAGACGAGGTCTGTACCTTCGGAGGTTTTGGAGAAGGATGATTTTGCACACAGTGTCCAGGTGGTGGTGGTGGGAGGATATGGCTGTAGCTCAGGGGCGGTGGATTCCCAGTTAGCCACTTGGTAAATATAAGAACCACCTAAGAACCTTGGGAAGTCAAAATGGGGGGGGAATTGGCTGAGGATGTTTTACTGCAAGGAGGAAAAATCCCCACAAACCCAGAACCCCCAGAGACCTGATATCCTTACGATTGGGCCCGGTCTCTGATGGGGAAGAAGCTTATTTTGATTAATCCTCTGTGAATGTATTTAATTACTCTGCCGCTGCCTTGCTGGGAGGACCCCGAGGAGGCGGCAGAAGGAGTTGACAGTCGCACTCTCATCGTGATCCCTTTCTTAGATACGCGCCCGAGGATTTCTCCTCCCTGATTTCCCCTGAGCATGTAATTAAAATTGCAAAGGCCGAGTCCTAAGTTACTGCCCCGCCTTTACCGCACTTCCCAGTAAACTCTGATCATGTCAGATGTTGCACAACTGACCTCTTCCCAAATCAGCAGTGTCTTAGGCGGCCGAGGATGTCCTGCCGGAGAGCCCCGCGCCCGGGACGGTTACCTGGACGCCTGTGCCGTTCCCTGTTCCTCTCCTCAGCCCCACACCCAGCTCAGGCCCAGATCCTGGCTCTAGGATTGGCATCACTGCCACTTCACGTACGTGCACCGCTCGGTGTCCCTCCTCTTGCCAACAGCTATGCAATAAAGCCCTTCCTGACCGCGGTCAGCCAAGAGACACCTTCCACGTCTGTGCTCCTCAAGTCCCTGTCCCAGTTCTTAGCAAGTTATTTTCCTGTTAATAAAATTGTAACCGTTTAACTGGAAATTTGAAGGTATACGGATGCTTTTGGAGGCCGATGTTGTTCATCAGGGCTTCAGTCTGTAGTGGATGTTGTTTTACGGTCCGTGGCTGAGGCTCATGGGTGGCAGCAGAGCTTCCTCGCCTCTGGCTCACCACCGAGGCCGTGGAAGGGCTGAGGCGATGGCTTGGCTGCGTGGTGCTGCTGCCCCAATAAAGCTGTTCCCTGGGGGAGCCGGGGGGCCTGGCTAGAGTTAGGTCAATCTTAAACTCCCTCAAGTACTAACAACTTCTCTGCCTGGACCAGAAGCCAGCTTATTTATTTTCCAAAGCCATCCCAGCAGTGAGTACCTGCTTCAACCTGGCAGTGAGGTGGTGAGGTCTTGAACTCTTGTATAGCTTGAAGCTGGATCCAACCACGATGCTGCCGATGGATCAGGTACCTTCTGCTTAGAAAATAAATGCCTTGACTTTGTCCGTGGTGGTTTTGTACCACGGGAGATGGTTGCTGGGTTGGAACTTAGGCTAGGGCGTGCCCGTAAGTCAGTCACAGCTCGAAATGCTTCGCGTTCTGCCTCGGCCAGGGCTGTCACAGGCTTTGCCGGGTGGCAGCAGAAGCTTTGCCTTTAAATGTAGGTTTTGGGGGGTTTTTTTGGCACTTTGGAGAGGGTCATCCCCCTCTCGCCAGACGGATGCTCAGTGAGTCTGGGGCTGAGTCCAGGGAAGAAGCCACGACCTTCCACTTCCCTGTGGGCTCCCTCCTGGGGCTGTGGGCACTGGGAGAGGCGGGGGATGCCAGTTCCCCGCACCCAGGCTTCTCTTCCCCGTGGCACCCTTGGGACACCAGAAAGACGAAGCTTTTTTCCACTTTTCCGCTTGCCTTGCAATGTGCGGGAGGGCTCCAGCTTGGAAAATACGGCCCCTGCTTTGGCGAGATCCCCAACACGCGGAGCCCGTTCCTCTCCTTGCGGGGAGGCTGCGGTCGCCCGGTGCGCAGGGAAGGGCGAGAGCTGCCGGGCATTGGAGGGGGACGGCAGCCGCTCTGCCGGGCGTGGGAGCCCTGGGGATGGGGAGCTTGGGGCAGGAGCCACCCGGCAAGCTCCCGGCCCTGCAGCAGCTGTCGGTGGCCGCACTTGGCTCTTCTTGGTTTGCTGGGAGAGAGGCGTCCTCGGGAGCCTGCCCTGAGAAAGGCCTGCGTGGGAAGGTGGGAGCGAGCGAAAACCCAGCCCCTGGCTTTGTGGGAGAGCCTGGAAGAGCTGGGCTTTAGAGAGGCTCAGTCCTTGGTGGTGCCGGCAAGGTTTTGAGTCCTTGCGATGCCAAACCGAACATGGTGACGATGAGCAAGTGAGAAGTGTTGCGATGGTAGGAAGCCCTTCTTGGCCTCTTGCTTGAGCTGATCTCTCTGCTCTTGCTTCTTTCCAGTATGGAAACTGGTATTTTTCCTGGGTATGTAGGCTTCAGCAGCTGGGGGCCTGGAACGTGTGGGCAAGGTGGAGATGGGAGCTTGGGGCGTGATTCTGTAGCCGCTCTGTGTGCGGAAACCTCCTGGCCCCATCAGCCAACATCAGTGGTGTCTGCGGAAGGACAACGCTCGCTGCGGCGCCAGGCCTGCTCCGAAGCTGTGGTTCCGTGTAGAATCTTGCAGCAAAATCACCCCACCGCCCATCCCGCGTTAGCTGCAGCGGGGGCGCCCCGTGCCCAAATGTGAGGCTGGGGGGGATCATGCAGGTACAGATGTGTAGCCCCACGCTGGGACCGGTGCCTTCCCTTCCCCAGGGAGGTGGGGGTTATGGACGCTCCTGGTTGTGTGCTGCCTGCTTCTATTGAATTCCTTTAATTCCTAAAAAATAAGTTCAGCTCTTTCATCAAAAAAAAACCCCAACCACCCCGTGTGAAGGGTTTTGCTGGTTCCCAGTCTTGCTTTTCCATTGCTTTACCTGCAGAGCGACTCCAGGAGGAGCCCTGGGGTTTCTCCTCGGCAAACAGCTGGGTACAGGAGTCGGAGCTGGAGCCGATCCATCCGCTGGAGCAGCACCACCGAGCCTGCGATCTCCTCAGCCAAGCAAGAAACGTTGCTCGTGGCGCTGGGCTGAGCAAGCGGAGATGGGGCTGGGGTTGATGCCCTTGGAAACGCCTCTTCCACCGGTTGCTGAAGCCTCCGAAGTCCTGGGGCGAGGGTCTGTGCGAGGGCGGGGGGCTGTAGAGCCCCCTCCTCTTTGCCCTCACCCAGAAGAGGGAGGGACCTGGCTGGGGGCGGGGGGAGGTGTTACAATATCGTATTTATGAAGTAGGTTATTGGGGACCCTTTGGGGGGCGGCTTGGGTGCCTGCTCTGGCTGCTGGCCTCCTTCGGGGCGGGATGGGAGTTGGGGTGGTTGGCGCTGCGCTTCCCCCAGCCCGGTGCGGGGGTTTGAGCGGGACACAAAATGCTCGGGGTAGCTTAGTACGGGGGTTCGGGGCCAGCGGGCTCTCGCCTGCGCGCTGCTGCTCGCCTCCCTCCCCTCTGCCCCTCCACGGAGGAGCTCCCACCCTCTCAGTTTTGCCTGAATGAGACCCAGTGGGTGAGGAGGACCCCGATGCTGCCCCGTTCCCCCCTGCCGGGCTGGGCTCAGGCGGGGGGTGCGGGGCTGCCCCTGAGGGGTGGGCTCCTGCGGGTTGGGATTTGCTTTAGCAGCTTTGTCCGGACGCCCAGGGCCGGGCTCCTCCTGCCTCCCCCGTGCCGCAGGCAGCAGGTAAGTGGAATTATTTTTTCCCTGCTATCTCCAGCTTATCTCGCTTGGGGAAATCAAGGGGAAAACTGTGCGTCCTTCGTGCCCGAGAGCCCCGAGTCTCGACCGAGCAGGCTGAGCTGTTTTCTCGTGCACGGCTCACTGGTCCCAGGGCCAGCGCCGGGGCGTTGCCGGTGCTGGCAGGGGAGCCTGGGACCGCGCCAGGGAGCGGCGGTGATGCGTCTGCGAGGGAAGGAGCAGGGAACGGCCGAGCTGCTGGCATCGGCTTCACCGCTTCAGCGGCCCTGGCCTCTGCTGCTCAGAATCCAAGGTCGGAGCAGTAAAAGGCAGCAATTTGCCCTGGAAGGGGAGAGAAATCGCCCGCAAAGCGGCGCATTTCCTCTGGGGCCTCGGCGGGGCCTCAGCACCAGCCCCCATGGGGCTGCTGACGTTTGGGGAAGGCGCCGTGAGCAGCGCGGGCACGGAGGGGATGGAGGAGAACGGGCTCCTGCCTGCAGCACGCAGGGCTCCCGCTGCCCCCACTTCCCCTCGGCTTAACGATGGCCCTGCCTGCTACAGCTGCTGGAGTCCTCGCCAAGGAAAGAGATTCGCGGCGTCTGCTTTCCTCCTTTTTCAGGCTTAACGAAGGCTTGGGGGAGAGGGGTGGCCGGGCGAGGTGTCCCGAGGCGTCCCCGGGGCAGCCGCGCGTCGGGGTGGAGCGGTGGTTGGGACAGCGGGGTCACAGCCCCCGGCTCGCTGGCTTTGTGCGCTTTATTTACAATGTCCCAAGGAATGATTTCCTGGGGTGTCGACGTGTTTTTGAATGTGGATTTCCTCCTTCCCCGCTGCGAGCCTGGTCTGGGCTTGGGACTTGAAAGTAAAGCGAGGTCTTGTTTGGAAGGGAACAAAAGACTCGGATGTCGCGATGAAGCAGTTAACAACAACAGAAGGGGGGGGATAAAAAAGATAGCTCAGCCCCAGAATGTGTTTTCAGACGAAGGGCAGGGGTGAGGGCTGCCAGCACCCCGGCCACTGGCGCGTTCGCCTGCGCGGGGCCCAAAGCCCAGCTTGGCGGCGGGGAGATAAGCCGGCCCTTTGGCAGCGGCTGCGAGGAAGCAGCACGAGTCCGGATCAATCAACACGGT